AGAGGTTGACTAGCATTCTGCTTATCTATTTTATTAGATAATCTTGTCATAATTCTTCAGCCTCCTTCTCTAGTTCAATCACATTCCACATTTTCCAATGGGCTGAAAAATTCCCATTTATCATCACCTAGTCTTAGAAACAATGATTAGATAAGCAGTTCCCTCATCTAATTTAAAGCGCCTGGTGACACAATGGGTATTGCAGGCAAACTGTAGGAGATGACCAGGCCAAGCTTGAAGGAGGGGTCAAATGTCATGAGTCCCTTTGCATCTGCTGGAGATCTAAGTCCAGCCACCTTGAATTCCTTTCTATTCTTAACCCCTACACATTTCTCTTAATGGTCACTTGGCCAGATTCTAGTTGAGAACTTAAGCTTGCAATAAATCTTTATACTCATTTGAACTGCCTAAATCTACTGATTTCCTTGGTGCTTGACACAAACTCTGCCCACAGCCAGGAGTCTTGACTGGTTCAGGATTGACTCTGCAGAATGAATGCTGATCTGCTTTTAATCTAACCCTTTTCAAAAGTCCTTATGGACATAAAATGGGGAGATTTCCTGATAGATTATTCTGAGTTCCTTGAAAAAACTTTATACTCTTTTTTAACAAGGAAAGAAATGGATGAAAAATAATTGCTTAATTTTCCTTTGTACATTTTTATAACATTTACAATAAGGGATGATTCTGAGCCAAGGCTATAGCTATAACACGACTACTAGCTTAGATATTCTTCTTCTATATATTTCATTGCTTTCTTGTGTTCCATATATTTATGTGTTCCTCTTAGTTAATGAGTGTGCACCCATTTTTGTGGTATTAGGATTTAAACTAAATAGGAGTGCATTTGCTTATAGTGGTTCTCAATAAAGGCCTGGTCATCTAAAAGACCATATGTCTCCTGTGGCTTCTGCCCAGCTATATGATTAGGCACTGTTGATATGCTCCAGGTCCCACTCATTATAGTGTCACCTGATGAATACAACCTATCTTCTCTGTTGGAGTGCCTGTCTCTGTAACGACATCCCATCCTCAAGACATCTTTGGCTCCCACCTTACATGGATTCAAGAGCCCTGAAACCTGTCTCTTTCTTCAAATCTCAGGTTTAGAGAGGCAGGTCCTGCATTAATGGTTTTTTTTCTTCTGTCATTTGGATTTTTGTATGATTGTTTTTGCAATTGTAGAGTTGGGCAGCCAAATAAACAAATAAATGTGAAAGGACAGGAAAGGACAGAATATCTCTGTGTGGCCTTTAAAACATTAGTCATTCTATTCTCTTGACATTTAGCTTTGGCTCTTTAGACACAGTCACATTTGTTAAGGATTTGGGGGAACCTCTTAAACAAAGTTCATTTAGGAAACTGCAGTTAAGAAGAAAAGAATGAAAAATGCATGAATGAAGATTTGCTTGGGCAATGGTGGATGCAGCCCAGCAGTACAATTTAAGGAAAATCTTTTGTTTCAGAATACATGAGATTGCTATCCATGAGCAGCTTTCTCATCATTACAAAAATTAAAAACTAACTGTGATGAATAAGATTTTTTTCCTTCTCTACTTAAACTTCCACTAACCCAAAGCAATGTCCTCTTACATGCAGATTTGGTTGCCCTGGCACTGAAAATATTTCAATCTCTTTCCTATAACTAGAAAGTCCAAACATCTTTAGTGGTAAATAAACAGAGAGATAATATGAAAATAAATTTATTTTATATTTAATTCTTAGTATAAAAGTTATCTGGGCAGATGAAAATGCAGCATTCATCAAATCCTTCATCAGCTCCTACCCGTGCCTTCTAGAATCTGGGCAATTAACCCATAGCTTTTAAATAAATCAGCCAAATTCTGTCTAAGTGCTAAAACATTCATATCAATGACAAAAAATGAATAGCCATTCAGGATTGTAACAGAACTTCTATGTGTAGATAATGTGCAGGATTATGCACTGATTTCTACTCTTTTGACATGATTTTCTGTTATTAAAATGGGCTGCAAATTGAACCCTGATAGTCTTATGGAAGGATAAAATGAGCAGTACTCTGGGGTATGTTAGCCTGTAGCTACAGCTAAGCACAAGAGCAACTTTCTTTCATCCCAATTGTCCTACAGTACAAGAAACTGATATCCATGAAATTGTCCTTTGAGGTAAATGGTAACTTTGATAAATAACCAACCCTTAAAGGTTTTCATGATGAAAGACTCTGTGCAAGCTAAAAAGACTGCTGCTCAATTATGGAGTTTAATGGTGGCTTAGGCTTGTTTTCCCAGAAAAAGAATGATTACTGGCAAAAGAATGAAAAAGTCTGGGTCACAGAAGTCAATTACCTTTCTCTGGAAAAAAGGAGAAGAAAAATCTACTTCAAAAGAGCAAGAATAGTCTCAAAACCAATTTTGTTGTTTGAAGGACTGAAGATGACAGCCCCTCAAAGAAGGACTCTTACTAAAATAGCATGATCCATACACAAAGCAAAATGAGGTAAAAGAGAATGCAGAGGTGATACAAAGACTAAGTGAGGAAGACAAGAGATTTCTGCAAATGCTGTCTTATTTAACAACAGCAATAACAACAACAATGCACAATTGAATGCAACCTTTAAGAAAAGATGAGGAATTCAAGCCAGACAAAGGATTGGACTGTCTGTCTGAAAAACTCTGGTGGGGGGTAGGATAAAGTGAATGACAGATAATTGAAGAGGAAAGCCTCTCATCATACCTTGTTTTAATTGTTTTTATGCTTGTTCAGCACTCAAAGTCACTGGTTTGAGATGGGCGCCATGCAAATTGAATGAATGAATAAATAAATACATTTCACAAAACCTTCTCTTCATATCTCTACTTTATCCTTACTGAAAAACTCAGTAAGTGAAGGTTCCTGTTGTCTTATAGCTCAACAATAACAGAACGGTATAGAGCCTATAAGGAATCTTTTCCTTCCTCCAGGGGATGAAAGGAGAAAGCTATTTCTCTTACTTTGCATAAAAGGATATGTCACCTATGCCAAAACAAAGGTGACTTTCTAAGCGTTCCAGAAAGAAAGTCTCCCAAGGAAATCTCCAGCCACCTTAGACGCCTTAAACTTTCCCAGCTGAGAAGTGCCTTACATAGGTCACCTCTGCTTGCTCCAACTGGGTGAAATGCCGGAAAGCAAAGTCAACTTCTTGAATATTTTGCATGGACATCCAGCCTCTTCACATTTTATTAAATGACCGGCCTTTTCTCAAACAACAGTTTCAGAATAGGGTAGAAGACAGTTACTGTACAGGATATTCTGTCAAAAAGAACCCAGAGGTGCAAATGCCCTGCTGTAAAGTTTAATGGACACTGAAGTATTTATCCACTATACAGTAATAGAATAGAATAACAGAGTTGGAAGGGACCTTGGAGGTCTTCTCGTCCAACCCCTTGCCCAGGCAGGAGATCCTATACCACTTCAGACAAATGGTTATCCAACATATTTTTAAAAAACTTCCAGTGTTGGAGCATTCCCAACTTCTGGAGGCAAGTTGTTCCATTGATTAATTGTTCTAACTGTCAGGAAATTTCTCCTTAGTTCTAAGTTGCTTCTCTCCTTGATTAGTTTCCACCCATTGCTTCTTGTCCTGCCCTCAGGTGCTTTGGAGAATACCCTGACTCCCTCTTCTTCGTGGCAGCCCCTGAGATATTGGAACACTGCTGTCATGTCTCCCTAGTTCTTCTTTTCATTAGACTAGACATACCAAGTTCCAGCAACCGTTCTTATGTTTTAGCCTCCAGTCCCCTAATCATCTTTGTTGCTCTTCTCTGCACTCTTTCTAGAGTCTCAACATCTTTTTTACATCATGGCAGCCAAATCTGAATGCAGTATTCCAAGTAATGTTTTAGTTGGAGAATTATCAAAAGAAAACATTTCCTTCAGACTCATCACAAAAGTCATTTTCTAAAGTCTTAATGAACTAGAAATTCTTTGGAACAAAGTTCTTTGGACTGATGAAACAAAAATTGAATGGTCTAATTGCTACTGGCAAAGCATTTGAAGAATGTTTGTCAGTCATTAAACACAAGAATGGCTCAAGTATGTTTGAAGTTATGTAGTACAGGAAATATTATGCAGGTGGAAGAAGGAATAGACCAATTAAATATCAATATATTCTAGAAGCTCTAACAGTGAAGAAATTAAAACTGAAACAGTAAGACAGCAATCTAAAAATCTATGGAGAAGCTCCAGCACATAGTGCATACATTTAAACAAACTTCTGAGTTAGAATAGTTCTGTAGGGAAAAATGGAAAAAACCTCCTAAAGTGCAAACAGGAAAAAAAAAACTTAAATGACTTCAAGAAACATTTGAACACTTTTTCTGCAAACAGAGATGTTAAAAAGTATGTATGCAAAGTTTTCAGATTAAGAAGGAAAAAGCCACTGCCTAACCATTCTCCAAGCAAGACTGCTAAATATAAGCAACTCTATTTACCCATGCATTGATGATGTTACCTAGGCTGGTAATGAAATGTCTTCAAGAAAACAACCAAGCTCAGAGGACATCAAGAATCCCATATTTCTGTTTTCCTAGGAACTATGAGGAAGTGCTGCTTATATTCTATATTTACTTATTACAATCTTCCTATTTGTTCCTTATAGGAAATTGTTCCTCCCCCATTTTTGTTTTGTGTGATCCTTTATATGATCCTTTTTTCCCCCAACAGGTAACAAAAACATTACACTCCATTTTGAATCTTTTAAAAAATATTCCAATTTTAGACAGGAATCTTTCTGTAACTGAGCCACAGTAGAATGACAATAGGTGAAAAACAAGTATGCTCTGGAGACAAGTGTTGACTCAGCTGTAATTCATTGATTGAATTCCCCTTTATGTTTACTCGGACAAATGTCAGCAATAAATAAAAATGTATTTTTCTAGTATTCTTCCTCTCTTCCAGAATGAAGTGAGGAAACTTTTAATTCATAATTAGCCATGCAACCACTATTTAAATCCCCTGGCATTTGCTACTAGTGCTTTACTCACTTTAGACTTCTCTTGATGAAGCTCAATTTGAATATCCGTCAGCTTAGTCCTGAGATCTTCATTGGCAGCTTGTAAAGACATAATCAGTACTTCAGGCTTTTCAGCCTTGCTGCGTCCTTTTTTGGACATGGCTGTTTGCAATTGCGAATCTGTGTGTGAGAATCCTTTTTCAAATTGAAATATCCATTTTTTTATTTCTTTCCATCCAACATGTTGTGGCATCTACAAGGTGACATTACATCTTCTCATTTAGCTCCTTGGGCAGTCCTGTCAAAAACGATACAGTATATTTGTTAGTAAAAATGAAATGACTGACAACAAAGAAAAGATCACAATTAGTTTGCAAAATTCACAGCTTGGAATTTCATCCAAGTATCCATTTAGGCCTACCCTGCTTATCTTTATAGTATCAGCCAAAGTAAGTTGATTGTTGCAGTCTATTTGAGCAAATAAACAATTTTGAACATTTGGTCTTTGGAAGAAATATTACCCCAATGCAATAACAAAAATATTTTCCACAATAATATTTTATTTTTGACTAAAGGAAGGACTAGTGGACTGCCCTATTGCACCAAAACTAATCTTGTTTCTTTCCCTAGAGATAATACACTGCAAAACCAGCACAGAATTATCCCAAAGGTGCTTTTTCAAGAACAACTGGACTTTCTAGTTTTTCTCTGAAGACATTTTGCTTCTCCAAGACCCATTCCCCACCATCCAGTCAGAGCTGAAGAAGCTTCTTGAATGAGAAGCAAAACATCTTCAAAGAAAAACCAGAAAGTCCAGTTGCCTCTTGAAAAAGCACCTTTGGGACAACCATGACCTGGATGACTGAGGATCTCCATAGACATTCAGCATAGGATTAACAATATGTCAGTTCTAGTATTAATAAGGAGATAGAAACAAGCAAACAGACAAAACAAAACAATTGGTGGCTTCTATGTCCATATCTTTTCTTTTTTTCATTTATACAATAAATCAAATTGCATTTATATCCATGGTGTCTCTAAATGTAAGAAAGCCAGTTTGTATAGTGGCTACACTAGGAGACCATGAGTTCTCATTCTGCCTTAGGCACAAAGTCTGCTGGGGGGGCTTGGGCCAGTCACTTTATTTCAACCCTAGAAATGAGGCTAAGGCAAACCACTTGTGAAAATGGTTTCCAAAGAGAAATATAGGATTTTGTCTAGGCAGTCTTCAAGAATCAGACACATTGAATGGCAGGAAAAAAAAAATCAATGAATGCAGCAACTTTCTATAACTTTCTATTTCAGCATGGTTTGTACAGGTCTTTAGCCTCATATTTGGAATTTTCTCACTGTATCAATTTCAGAGTTGAAGTAGAATTCAAAAAGGCCGACCAAGGAAATAGATATGGTTTTCAATTACCAAAGAATGTTAAATACAATTTGGATTGATGAAGTTTTTAAATATATATTTAAGAGACTTAGGTTTCCATTCCTTGATTTTCAGTGAGAGTCATTTAGCTTTAAGTAAATTATTTGATAGACTTAATTAATTGTAGAGTTGATGGAAGACTGAATACAGATCTGTGATTCATAAGAAACCAGCTACATTTACTTGTCATTTTAAAGGTATACAGTAAGTGTGCTTTTCTATGCACCATCTATGCATGCAGCTGAAGCAATGGATGTACTAATAGAGGGCAGCAATGAAGAAATGGATGGGAGAAGAAAGGTAAAGGCCAAGAGAGCTTTGTGCATCTTGGTTTCTTAACTATGAGGCTTATGCATGCTTTTCTATACATTTCCTCAACTAGCACTAATCGTGTTCCTTTGAAGGATTACAGTTACTAGTAGAAACATCTACAACAGGAGGAAAAGAGGGCTGTGACTTATGTACATTTTGACATCATACAAACAGCTGCTGCTCATTATAAGTAACAACTTAGAGCAATGTTCTGTTCTTTTAAAAGTTGTAGCTGAGATGGAGTGGTTTGTTTGTTTTTGTCACAGTTCAATCTTAGTTTTCTTGGATACATGAGGTGGTATTCAGCAGGATCTAACCAGTTCTGGGGAACCGGTAGCAGAAATTTTGAGTAGTTCAGAGAACCGACAAATACCACCTCTGACTGGCCCCACCCCCATCTATTATCTGCCTCACAAGTCCCAGCTGATCGTCTGGGTCTTCTTTTGTTGCCCTGCACAGGAGAATGGCTCTGGAAAGCAGTTTAGTGGGGTGAGGAGGAATGAGATTTTGCAGTATTCTTCCCTTGCCATGCCCACCAAGCCACCCTACCCCACCAAGCCACACCCACCAAACCGGTAGTAAATTTTTTTGAATCCCACCACTGACATGAACCACTTCTATTTGTTACAAACACAGCTCAAGAGGAAGATAAACAGAAACTATACTTGCTGTGTCTTCCATAGAAACCACTAGATTTTAAACAAGAGAAAGGCATCAGGGCTTCTATAAATACTGTGTAGCATGAGGGACTACATTATTACTATGAAATATTATCCTCTTGGAGAAACAACATAAGTTACAACAGGTTTTTTTCCAGGCTGCACTTGAGAAGGAGACACACTCCAAACACTGGGAAGGGACAAAATTAAATTAGATATAATTTATGTTCAATGTATGTGGTATTAAGTTTTGTTACTATGATCACATTCTTTGTATTTAATTACTTTCCTCTTCTAACACATTAAATTATAATTCTGTGGCTACTTTTATACAGACTTTTGAAGGCTTTGGGTGTACTGCTTATAGCTCTGAGTTTCATGTTATTATGAACTCCTATTTTATTGTGCTAAGCTAGTTTGTCCTGTATACATTGCAATGGAACTTGCAAAGGATTTATATTAATTCACCAGTCATGTCAGAATATAAATTCTTCAATCATTTAGAAAGAAATTCATACTCTATGAGAAGCTTGCTTGATTAAACTAATTTTATACTTATACTGATGTAGTGAAATACGCTGATTTAAGCTGTTTACTCAAGCAAAAAGAGGGGATAGAAATATATGTCCTCTCTCACAATATAGACAGAAATCCTATACAGTGTCCAGCTTCTGCAGTTTGTTAACTTAAAAGTGTCAACTTCAATTGAAATAATTGTGAAGATTTTCCCTTCTCCAGTAAGTATACAGCGTATGTAAAAGGAAGTGCCTCCATTAATTGATGTACTGACTGCATGTTGCAACTAACTTACAAGTGCGACATAAATATCCTTGCAGATGAAAAGGCTGCAGTGAAAAGAAGCGGGGAGGGGAGAGAATGGAGAGGAGGAGAAGTGAAAAGGGAACCACTTAGAGAAGGACAGGGAGGAGAGATACTCCTTTTAGGCATTACTAAGAGGGCTAAATTTATCAGGCTACTGGGCAGTCTTAACTAACAGCTATTTATCCAGTGGTGGGATTCAAATTTTTTACTACTGGTTCTGTGGGCATGGCTTGGTGGGTGTGGCAGGGGAAGGATACTGTAAAATCTCCAGTCAGAGGTGGTGTTTGCCGGTTCTCCGAACTACTCAAAATTTCCGCTACTGGTTCTCCAGAACTGGTCAGAACCTGCTGAATACCACTTCTGTATTTATCTCAGTGAATATAAAATCCAATTAACAGGTAACCAGAGGGGGGGGGGGAAACATTTTCCCTCACTATTTGCAGAATTTAGAAAATGTGTTTACTTAATGTTAAGCAATTGTAGCATTTTCCTGTTAGAAATCCTTCCCACCCATGCAAATATGCTGGCAGCTAATGCTTAAATCTCAGATACCAGAAAGCAAATCAAAAGACCTCCATATTTGTTCTGTTTTTGAACAATTGGGCTGGAAGTAACAGAGCTTTTTATGTCTGAAAAACTGTTTGGAAACCTCTGTCAGAGAGAGATTTGTCACAGTTCTGTTACTGTCAACCATCAATATATTCTATTATGGTTAATTAAATGTGCAAAGCCATGCCTTTGTTCAGATTAATACTACGGTTGTTTTTTTTTTTTTTTTGCTAGAAAACCTACAGTTCTGAAGTATGGTAGGAATATCACTACCAGATTCTTGTACAGTGTCCTTTTTTGCTGATTTAGTGATTTTCAGTGTTATGGCCTATAATATTAAAGCAATGTTCTCTCTCTTCCTCATGCTCCCCCATGAATATATTTAGAACAGTGGTGGGATTCAAATTTTTTTTACTACCGGTTCTGTGGGCGTGGCTTGGTGGGCGTGGCAGGGGAAGGGTCCTGTAAAATCTCCAGTCAGAGGTGGTATTTGCTGGTTCTCTGAACTACTCAAAATTTTCACTACCGGTTCTCCAGAACTGGTCAGAACCTGCCGAATACCACATCTGATTCAGAGAATGAAAGAGAAACAGAAGCAAGAAGAAGATGAAATTTCTATAAACCTGTTTTGTATTCATTAATGGAAAGGGAAATACAAACACACCAGAGTAAAAAGGAACAAAGGGAAACAAAGGACAATTTCTCCAAGTGATGCCTATTTAAAACTAGTGGTTTCAGCAGCCTCACCAAACTCCATTATACGTAGCAGAAGGTTCTCCCCACAATTTAAATATCCTAATACTGCTGCAGATGGCACACAGTGCCAACTGTATTCCTGCAATATTAATATTGCTTACTGTGCTAGATAGGCTGTTTTAAGGTCAATTCTACTATGAGGGAACACAGGCCCATAAAAAACAGATGCTTTTGCTTCTGCAATAAGATAGCTTGGCTATTTGTGCCTGAGGGCATAAAGAATGATGATTAAACATTATTGCCACACAAATGGAATGTCTCAGGGCTACCCAGGCAGAATGAAGACAAGTGAAGGTACACATATGAATGTTGATTTGCTGGAGAAAAGCTATGTATTATAGAAGAAGGAAAAGAATTTGTGTGTATGTGTATGTGAGAGAGAGAGAGGGGAGAGTGAGAGAGAGAGAGAGAGAAAGAGAGAGGGAGGGAGGGAGAGGGAGAGAATGTTAAACAATGGATGGACAGTGAATCTGAGTTCCCTTCATATGAATTTGCATTTATCATTTTTTTAAATCAAATATAAAATTTTAATTTTCTCTTTCTTTACATGCAGGGCTGTATTTCGCATCTGTATTTGCTTGTGAATGTATTCAGTCAACCACGTCACACAACACACACTAGTGCAATAGCAGG